TATTATTATTATCATTATTATTATTATTATGAGTATGAGTATTATTATTATCAGTAGTTTAATTTTTTATCGTTACTTTTTTTCGAGTCAAGTGGCAGTCAGTAAAGCCTTCCTCCTTTGCATTTACTTATTTAAACCTGTCTGTGCGAACTGTATATTTTCAGGAATTTATCGACCAAAGTAACAATAACTTGGAATGTTTGTTGGATGAGAAATCTGAACTTGAGAGGGTAAGTTTACGTGTTATGTTTTTTTCTTTTCCCCTTTTCTCTCTTTGTTGTTGCTGCTGTTGTTGTTGTTGCTGGTCTTGTTGCTGCTGCTGTCGTTGCTGCTGTCATTTTTGCTGCTGTATTTGCTGCTGCTGCTGTCGTTGCTGCTGATGTTGTCGTTGCTGCTGATGTTGTCGTTGCTGCTGTCATTGCTGCTGTTGTTGTTGCTGCTGGTTTTGTTGCTGCTGCTGCTGTTGTGTTCGTTGTTGTTACTATTGTCGTTGTTGCTGCTGTCGTCGTTGAAGCTGTTGTTACTTGTAGTTTTTGCTGTTATTGGTTTTATCTGTTTTTTTGTTAATAATCAGTATCACAAATATCTTACGCCCAGCTTTGAATACCTTTTCACAGAAACTTCATTATGCGATCGAGGAACTTAAATCCGCAAACGCCGATAAAGCAGCACTTCAGGTAAAAACCCTTGTAAACCTTCGTTTTCTCAATATAATTGGCTGCCCACAAGCACGTGTATGAGAAGCCGATTTATGACAAGAAAAGTTGTAAAATACAACCCTGCATTTGTACAAGTCGCTATATTTTCAAGTCATTGAATTGTTTATTATTCAACTGAGAAGGTATTACAAAATATGATTTTTGATGGCCAAACAGGATATAAGCGTGTACCTACGCGTACTTGTTATACGCCCTCTTAGAGCATTTATAGTATGACTATGAACAAATTAATGGATCTCCAGTGCCTTCCGTGACCTTGAACGGGGTGCTATGTTCAAGCATTCTGATTGCTTGTGCAGTCATCTCGCGCGCTGTGATTTGTTGAACGTACGTTAATTTTGTGCCTTAGTAATGCTGTGTGGTTTCACAGTCTTACGGAAGCAACTCTGTTTCCACTCTAATAAAGCACTTACATGTATTTTCACGCGTGTCGTACTATAGGAGAGCGGATTTGCGTTCTGACGTGTAATATTTCATATATTTCAATTCTACAGGTAAAGGTCAACTCACTTGACAAGAATGCAGAGGAGGAAAAATTACAAGCAGAAAATAAAGGTACAAATATTAATCTGGAATTTTCTAAATTTGTGCTCATTTTTGCCTGCGCTGACAATGTCATGTCAGTTAATGTTCTGCGGTGTAATAGCTTGCCAGCCAACAAATGCCAGACACATCCTTATAAAATACTCCATTTTATTCTTAATGCCATTTCTTCTGTGACTGCAGCTGAAACTGCACCTTCTCACCAATATCGAAGTGGTCGTTTTATTTCTGTTTTTCATTTTGACGCAACTGCTCGTTTTAAAGGGTTAGGCATACTTGACTGCATATGGCCTAATTGGAATTCAAAATTGATTTCGTTATTTTTTATTTAGAACTTCGGGAACGAGTTTCTGAGCTGCAAAATGAGTGCAATCTAGTAAACAGCTGTGCAGAAGACTTACAAGGAGAAGTCAACGAAATGAAGAAAGAAAATCTTGCTTTAAAATCACGCCTACAAGAAGATGAAAAAGTTACAGAAAAGAGACTATCCCTCGAAGCAAAGGTTGAAGATTGTGAACAAAAACTAGAAGTCGCTTTGAAAGAGATCTCACAGCTCAAAATTAGCTTAGAAGAAGAAGTAAAACTCAAAGAAGAATCCCTTAGCGAAAGTAAAAATTTGAAAATCTGCGAATCCTCGTTGAAAGAAGAGCTGGAGAACGAGAGGAATATCTTGTATAAAGAGAGAGAAGAGATGGAGCAGTTAATACTGGACCTCAAGGAAAGTATGATCGATGTGGAGAGCGAGAGAGCCTGCCTGCAAGAGGAGTTCCAGTGTCTTCTCTTAGAAAAGGATTCAGAAATTACCTCCTTGTTAAAAGAGCTTGAACAAGTGAACCAAACTTTTAGTGATTTCGAGGAAGATAGCAGAGAAGAGTTTGCGTCAATGACTAAAACGTTTAAGGAGCGGGTTTCCAACAGAGATGTAACCATTTCTAAGCTCGTTGAAGATGTTGCCAAGCTTAAAGAAAGTATGGTAGGAGCTGAGAGTGAAGCAAGTAGAATGGCGGACTTGGAGCTTGAGAAGGAAGCTCTATGTACAAAATACGAAGAACTTGAGCGAACAAAAGACCAGCAAATGGCAGAGCTGAGACGAGATGTTGAGCTTAAAGAAGAAGAACTTGGCGCTGCGAAAGAAGAGTTGAATAAAATTGCAGAAGAAATGGAAAGACAAAAGAATGGAGCAAATGAAGAAGTAAGGTCCAACCCTGGTATATTTTCGATGTGTATTTGTCTTCAAATTTTGTTATTTTGTTATTTCTGTTCTGATTTCTTGGGGGGGAAGAAATAGCTCTCGGGATTTGTAACTTGAATTTATTCACATTTCATGGTCAGACATTTTGGGCAAAGATTTATGTAATATCATATTTAGTACTCTTATTCTTTGGTTGAATAATCAGTTGAAGAAGGAGCTTGAGAAGTTGAACGAGGAAAATCAAGCACTTCAGGAATCCCTGGAGAAGTAAGTACAATGATCAAAGTTATGTGGACACATGGGGAATGGGGCAGGGAGGTGTGAATTGGTGTTAGGTTGCCGCAGAGGTCTTGATAAGGGAACTCATTTTTAAAACATGGTGATGATGATGATGACTTTATTGTTGCAGACAATGATAATTATGAGTTAAAAGTAGTGATGATGGTAGCGGTGATGATGATGATGATTTTATTGCTGCAGACAATGATAATTATGAGTTAAGAGTAGTGATAATGGTAGCGGTGATGATAATGAAGATTTTATTGTTGCAGACAATGATAATTATGAGTTAAGAGTAGCGATGGAGGTAGCGGTGATAATGATGGTGATTTGATGTTGATGGTGGTGTTGATGATGATTGTTTTGGTAATGGTGATAGCGGTGCGCTGATGATCATGATGATACTGGTGGCGATTATAATTCCGAGTAATTAATCTTTGTCTATTATCCATCATCGTCTTCCTGTTTTATCTTCCAGAGTCACCACTGAAAGAGATGAAATCAAGATCGAGTTGTCTAATGCAATAACTGATGTAAGCGAGAATACCTTTATGAAACGTGATAGCGTTTCCCTGAGTTCAATCAACGCAGAAAAAAAACAAACAAACGAAACCCAAAACCCTGAGTAGCGTCCGTGATGAAAATATTGCCCTAATTTTTTAACTTTTAAGCCAAAAACCCAAATGTCTTAGAAGTATTGGTCGCGTATATGTAAATCAAAATAGGTAGCATAAGACGACGATTTGAGCGCATTTTTATGACATCTTGTAAAGTAATTTTTTTGTTCTTTTGCCGCAGTCTGTGACCATTCAGAAGGATATATTTGAAGCTCACCAGAAGGTGACCAATTATAAACAACGCATGGAACAAATGAATCAGGAATACGAGAACTTGTGTATAAAGGTACATTTCTACTATCATTATATTGTTCTTGAGTAAATGTGAGGAGTACCAGTCCCCAGTCACCCCCCCTCCCCAACCTCAAAAATCAAAAAAAGGAGGAGGACATGGCATGCTAAGCATAAATTTTTGTTTGTTAATCTCTTGCTCTCTATTACTGAGCGTCATGTACTTTAAATAGAATGAGGATGAGGACAAGAGGGGGAAAAGGACAGAGGAACAGAGAGGAGAGGAAGGAGGAAAGAAGATACAGAAACAAAAATAAAATAAAACGAGGCTGGTATGGGAGAATATATATTTTTTCTTACCGCACTCTTGACTGTTGTTGTTCACAGGTAACCTCTTTGGAAGAAGAACTGCTCAACGCAAAGGAAGAGCTAATAATGGCTAAAGTAAACCCTGCCCAAGAGGACTCTAATATTGGTGAACAATTAGAAACCAGTGAGGAATATAGAAAAATCGTAGAGGATAACGAAGAGTTAAAGAAGTTGAATATTGAGCTAAAGCATGCTAATGAGGATTTGGAAAAGAAAATAGAATCTTTTGAAGGTAAAAAAAAAAAAAACGTTTTACAGTCAAACTAAGAAAACCGTGAACCCACAGAAAACAATGTTTGACATTCCAGACACATTTTAGGTGTTCACGGTTTTCTTAGTTTGACTGTAAAAAGCTGCATAAAATGTGGAAATTGTGAATAAGAGGAACTTTAAGGCTTTCCTTACTTTCTTTGCCATTCTTTCCTCTTCCTTTTTCTTTCTCTCTATTTCTTTTTCCTTTTCTCCTTTTTTGAGGTGATTTATTCTTTTTCCATCCCTCTTTTTTCCTTATTGTATTTTTTATTGTATTTTAATTCTCTATTTTTTCTAACTCGTCTTTTCTTTTTCCTTCCTCTTTCTTCCCTTGCCTTTCCCCTGTTATCTGTTGATTGTCTTCTTTTTGCTCCTTCCCCTCTTTGTTTGTTTTTATGTGTGTGGGTTTTTTCCCCCCTTCCCTTCTCCTCTACTCTAATCTCCTCCACTTTTCTTTCATTCTTCTATTCAATCCCATAATAGATAACTCAACATTGTTTTACTCCCTTTCAGATATTCCAGTGCTAAAGACTCAACTGGAAGCCAAACAGCAGGAACTTCAGGATGTTACCCATGAACTTGAATCTGTGAGACAGTCAAATAAAGAACTACAGAACTCCATGGAAGAAATGAAAGGCAAAGCTGTTGAATTGGAAGAATCTCGTCAAACTTTAGAAAAGAACTTTGCTGACAAACAAGAGTGTTACGATAAGCTGTGTAAAGAGATGAATGAATACAAGATGTTGGTGGCTGGTGGACAGACACAGAGTAATAAGTTTAATATTGAGTTGGAAGAACTAAAGAAGGAGCATGATGAAACTGTGCGTGAATTGCACAATGAACAAAAAGAACACGAGGCTTTGAGGTAAGGAGTTGTTGTCGGATATTTCATATTTACCCCGATTTTCTTTCTGTTATTCTTTCTTTAGTTGCTCATATACATTTATTCCTTTCTTCTTTCCTTTCCCTCTTGTCCGTCCTCATTTTCCCCCTTAAAACCTCCAGTCCCATCCTTCCTATCTCATTCTCTATCGCGTCTTTACTTCTTTCCTCTCTTTCCTTATTTTAATGATGTTTCTGCCGTCCGCCTTGCCTCATTCCTTCCTCATTTTATTCCCTTCCCCCCATACTCCCCTCTCCCTTCCTACTTCCTTTTTTTATTCCCTTCCTCTAATACTCCCTCACTCTCTACCTCTCATGCTCTAAGCTCTTGCGCTTCCTCCCTTCCTGTTTTTCCTTTTTTATTGATTGCATGTTCCTCCACCTTCTTTACCTCTTACGCCTTTTCCCTTTCTCTCATTTCCCCCCTCATATTTTCAATGCCCTTTTCCTACCCTCCTTATTCTAAAATAAATATGTGATATGCTTTTCAAGGACAAAATATGAACAGTTAAAGGAGCAAGTTGAAGAAAACAAAGTATCTTTACTGCGCGATAGTAACCGTGATCTAACCCAACAAAAACAGATCGACAAAATGAGATCTGAACGACGCGAAACCATCTGCGTACAAGCACAACTAAGAAGTGAACTTGAGAAAGAGAGAGACGAAAAAGAGAAAAAGGTACAACATTTTTTTTAGTATCATCGTCTTCAAGTAAAGTTTTATTGATTTATTCATTGAGACTTCATCGGAAGTTTGCAAACTTTTAGTAGGATAAGTTCTTTCCATAGCATAATTTCAAGCTCGGAAAAAGAAGCTGTGGGAAGATAGGAAAGAAGGAACTAAAGAAAGCGTTCTTGTAGAAAGATGATAAAATATATCGCAGAGTTCCCTGTTTAATATTATTTCTTTCTTTAGTTAGCGCATTAATTTTAAGGACAAAAGAAAAGAAGAAGAAAAAGCAATCTTTTTTTAAACATTCTGTATAATTTTGTTTGATCCTATTTAGATTTTGGAACTAGAAGCTCGATGTCGTCATCTAACAGCCGAGAAAGACTTGGCCGAGCACAAAACCGAGGTATCCCACAAACAGTTAGAAGATATAAAACAGCAGATGAGAGATATGGAGTTACTTTACTCTCAGCATTCCAAGTCGGTGGTGCCAACTAGCGGCAATGACAAATCTGCACATCGACTGAAACAAGTTGAATTCAATCTGGATATCACGAAGCAGAAGTTTGAGAAGGCAGAACTGAGGCTGAAGGAACTTGAACAAGAGAATAGACAGGTAATTTTTTATTTGATACTCCGGGAAATCCCGGAGTACGTCCTTAGACTGGATATTGCATAGCCTTGATCAATCCACCAATAACTCTTTTGTGGTGGCGGCAAAGTGACCAGTTCCTCGCTTGCGTGATATTCGAAAACGAGTGTAATCGCTCGAAAGCAACCCACTGTATTGCATTGGTATGACATTTGTACATTGATCATATTCTTTTCTATATAGCTGAAGGGAGCTGATATAAGGAACGGTGCCTTGAAGGAAGAACGAGACGTCATCAAAGCGCAGCTCGTAACGAAAACCGAAACACTAAAAGAAACAAATCGTAAAGTCAACGACTTGTCAATCGAGGTCACACAGCTGAAATCGCACATCGATAAGCTGACAAGTGAAACGAAAAAACAGAAGGCAGATCTTGAAAAGAAAGTTGAAAAGATTGAAGACTTAGAAATCCAGCTGGTTCAGTTGCAGGATTCGACCAACAGTACCCAAAATTTCGACGAAGAAAGACAGAGTCTTAGGCAAGAGATTGAAGGGCTGGCAAGCAGGCTTAAAAGCAAATCCATGAAATGCGAAGAACTTATGTATGAAAATAAGGAATTACAGAACAAGAATCCCAAGAAAGCTTCGTCGAAATGCAAAGGCTGCAGGACCCAATTCCAAGATGTGGCCCAAAAACTTGAGAAAGTCCAAAGCGAATTTGATGCATTGAAGGTCCAGCATGAAGAATTATCCTTTAAGTATGATGAACAACTAATGAATGCAAACGAAAAAGAGGTAGAAGCTGAAGAAGCTGTTAACTTGAAGGAGGAAATTGCGAGATTGAAGGCCGAAATTCTTAACTTCAAGAACCACAAGAAGACAGATGGTGATGTGCAAACAGACAGGGAAAACCTATGTCTGACTGATGAAAGCAGAAGTCACTTGGAAAACCAGGTATTGTATCATTATAAGTTTTTTTAATTCAGCCTTACTGAAACGAGTTCTTTTTCGTAACAATAAGAAACCCTATCCCCGAGATCCTGAAAAACTATGCAGAGACTACCGCGGACTGTCTAAAATACAACTGCAAAAGGAAATGCAGGATAAAACACAAATTTCGCCTGTGTTGCTACGATGGATGGGTACTTCATACTCTCTTGATGATGGGAAACATTGCTCGGTGCCCTATTTTGAGACTCCTTCAAAATTTATGGTCATCCTAAAAACAACTAGGCTGGTTAAACAGTCAGGGCATGCTCACACAGATGCAATTGTAATTTAGCGTGTTAGGTTTTGGGAATGGAGGAAAACCCTCGAATCAAGGGTGAGTCCTAAAAATTCCACTCTTATGTGATGCAGAGTCTAGGAATCGAACCTGAGACTCCATAGGCGAGTGCACAACGGCTCTGCTTCACCCTTGATTCACATGAGAYTACTTTAACCTAGTAATGCGAATTTTTTTGTCTATTCAAGGATGAGATGATCAACAGTCTTAATATAACGATTCAGACCAAAGATGAAGAGCTAGAGCACATTACATTCCTGATGGATGAGCGTGAACTGGAGATCAACGAGGTACGTCACAGCTTACAGGAATACGAGGAAAACTTGAAGCAAATGAGGGAAACGATCAGAGAAAAGACCGAACTATCTGATGGACTCCAGTGTGAGGTTGAGATATTCAAGATGGAATTAGACGAGGCTAATCAGGGGCACAATGAGGCTAAGAAATGTATTGAAGAGTTAAGAAATATTATCAAGGAACAGGAAACTGAACTGATCAGACTAAATGAAAAAATACATGCAATGAAGGTCTCACAAGGTGCGGGGCAGACAGACAATGACTTGATGTGCACTGTGGATCGTTTAAAAAAAGAACTCGAAGAAGTCAAGTCCTGTAAGAATGAGACGGAACAAATAAATTTGGAGCTTGAGAACAGATTGAAGGAAGATGTTCTTGGAAAACGAGGGGAAGAGGTTCATCTCGAGCACGCAGAACTCAAGTCAAAACTTGAAAGCGCACAGCGGCAGATTGAAGAACAGAATTGCAAGCTAGATGAAGCGTCGGCAAGTGTCGAGGAGTTGAGAAAAGTCATAAGTTCTGCCGAAGATGCTAAAGAGAAATACGAGGAGCTGCAAATTCAAAATGAGGATCTCCAGACCCAACTCGAAGCAGCACGGCAGAAGTTTGAAGAACAGAATTGCAAGCTAGATGAAGCGTTGGCAAGTGTCGAGGAGTTGAGAGAAGTCATAAGTTCTGCCGAAGATGCTAAAAAGAAACACGAGGAGCTGCAAATTCAAAATGAGGATCTCCAGACCCAACTCGAAGCAGCACGGCAGCAGTTTGAAGAACAGAATTGCAAGCTAGAAGAAGCATCTGCAAGTATCGAGCGGTTAAGAAGGGTGATAAGCGAGCAAGAAGAAGAGCTCTTCAACGCAAATGAAGAAGACAGTGAGAGTAGCGCTCTTCTAAAAGAAGAATTAGAATTGACAAAACAAGAAGCTGAAGAATCCAAGAAAAGTCTGGAACAAGAAATACGGCTTAATACTCAACTGAAGGTGTTTTTGAAAGAAAAGGAAAACGAAGTTGAAGAATTACGGACCAAAAGCAACGATGGGAATTTTATTGAGCTTCAAAACAAGTATGACCAAGTGAAAGCAGAGCTAGACGAATCCAATAAGGCTTTAATGTTTAGCGAAAATGAACTTGAAATGCTTAGAAACAGCTACGACAACTTGAAAGAAGAGTGTCAAGAAGCCAAGAAGATGGTGGCAGATTTTGAAACTAGAAATGCTGAGCTTCAAAACCTCACAACAGAAAATGGCGAAGCATTGCTCAAAGTACAGTGCGAGTTAGAAGACGCATTGAGAAAAGTTTCGTTGTCTGAAGAAAAGGTGGAAGAGTACAAGGCAAAGCCAAGTCTGATTCAGAAACGTGATGGTTCAATGTTTACTGAAGGTGAAAGCCATGGACAATTAGAGGTCCATCTCTTGGCAAAACAAGCCGAGTTGGAAGATCTACAGGGACAGTTGATGCCACTACAACGAGAAAATGCTAAGCAGGAGGAATCGCTACAACAACAGCGTAAGCAGCTGACAGAAATGCAAAACTCACTCAAAGCAAAACAAATGGAATGCGCAGATTTGAGAGAAAAAATAAAATCTGGGTTTGATGTCAGCCAAGAGAAAGTTAACTCACTGAAGAGTGAAATAGCAGAGATGAATACTGTTTTGTCGAGCGAGCGCCTTCTTAACGAAGATCTTCGAGAAGAGCTGGAGTCGTCTAAGAGGCATACGGCAGCTGTTGAGGATGCTCTACAGAAGACTCGAAAGCAGAAGATGGAGCTGGAGTACCAAATCCATCAAAATAGTGGAACGAATGAGGGACAGCTTTCAAAGTCACTTGCTGATGCAGAGGCTGAAAATACTGCATTGAGAAACACGTTGAAGCACTTGCAAGACCAACTTGAAGAACAGCAAACAAGTCCGGAGACAACAAGCATGGCTGAATTAGAAAACGAGACGTTGAGAAGTATCATCAAAGAAAAGCAAGGTAAATTTCTTCCTCGTCTTTAAGCCCATTGTCATCGTCACGTGACAACAAATGTTCAAGTTGTCTAGATTTTTTACTTCTGTTGACAGAAAATTGCTGACTCAGACCGAAATTTGATTAACGGAGGCCAAAAATCAAGACAACTTGAATGCACCCTTCTTAAAATGGCCTTGAATGCGATTCTAACATGGAAATACAACAACAACAACAACATCAACAAAAAACAAAACAAAAAACAACAACAACAACAAAAATCCACAAATTCCATCGAGAAAAAGTGTGTTTTTTTTTAAATTTTCATGTTGGCCTTGCATCCACGATACTTCTGAGAAGGGTCCATTATATCTAACTTTCTGGTCTTGTAATCACGAAGAATCGTAAAAAATTAGTTTTGGAACATTTACGATGTAATGTTTCAAATACGAGTTGCTGTATTATATTGGGGTTTCAAAATCCGAGTGGAATTTCAAATGCCGAGGCGTATACAGTGACGAGTATTTGACACGACATCTTATACTCTTTTTGTTATGTTTGTTTTTATTTCAAAGTTCTAGTACTTTGAAATATTTCAACGTCCGCGTAGTAGGACTTTGAAATATTTCAAATTACTAGAACTTTGAAATGGGTGCGGTCGTATTTGATGGGGGTTTCAAACTACTGCACGTGGTACAAATAAGAAACCCTGGTCGGTCGATGAGCTCATGAATTATTAATGAGTATAAGATGCTCGGTTTGCGTGCGCTGCTAATGCAATATCCATCTATTTATTCATCCATTCATTTGATTAATCAATCGTTCCTTATTGATATGTTTATTTTAGCTGCACTAGACGAATACTCTCAGAAGATACAGGCCTTGGAAAACCTTGAAAATAAAACAGAAACCGAGGTAAGGGACTTGTCCTAACCTGTTCATTTGCGATCAATTAAATTCGAAATATATATACCTATTTCAAGGGCGATAAGCGATAGACAACAGGTCATTTTCCAAGATGCAAGAAAAGTTGGGATGACTTCTTTTTCTGCTTCTTATTCTTGACAATGCTTAGTGTTGAGATCTTCAAGGTTATCATTCAAATTATTTTTGCCGTCGTTTTGATTTGTCAAGATAACTGCAAATAACTGCGTACAAGTATTGGTCTGCTCATGCGCATCACGGTTCAAAGCAGTTTTTCTTCAAATTAATGCTTCAACCATTAGTTCCTTAGATCGCCCTTACAATGTAAAGAAGGAATGCAATTGTAATTGGTATCAAACGAAGCTCTGCTCCTGCGCAGTAACGTTGCATTTGTCGACATGGCTCGCTTCCCTGTGCTGTCAGAAAATGACTTGGCATGCTTGATACACAGCGACTGGTCACATTCTAGTTTGATGTACTATAACCTAACTTTTGCCCAAATCTTTTTTTAAAGGGTGTGTCTTATGAGAAATATAATAAAGAAACAAATCGACTGAAGAAGATTATCGATGAAGTTCAAGGTACGTCTAAAAGTCTCGTATTTCACATAACACAAGTAACTTTTCATATTCAGTAGCTTATGTTATTTTAGGTTTTGCATCAAGTTTTTACTTTCACATTTCAGATGAATTAGATGAAGCTTTGCTCAAGATAAGTACGTTGGAGGGAAAAGAAAAAGAGGTAAGAAACGTTACTATAGACCTGTTTCTCGAAGGCCGCCAAATTTACAGAAAGAAGCAAATTTTAAGACACTGTGATGTTTATTTTGGTTATAGGGTGTCTCATGGGAAGTACACGACAAAGAAACAAACCGATTGAAGAAGATCATCGATGAAGTCCAAGGTATGCAGAAAAGATTGGAGTCATTTTATTTTTCGACTTCCATTTTTCAGTTTTATTTTTCCACTTCCGTTATTTTAATGGGATGCTTTATTCTATTTTTATTAGATGAACTCGATGACGCTCTAATGAAGATACATAGCTTGGAACAGAATGAAAAAGATGTAAGAAACATCGAAAAAAAACCTTGAATTGTTTTTAGAATCTGAAACCCTTACTCACACAGACGGAAACATGAAACAGCCTCTGGGCTGATCTAAGTCAGGGCACTCAACAATCGATTTGGAATTAGGCTCGTTTGGTTTTTACATCGTAGTCATAAACTTTAGTTTTTTGAAGAATATGAAGGGACGATTTAAAGCTATAATGCTCGTGTAAACTAAAACAATAAAATCACCTTTGATATGTTTTATTTCCAATAGCASAATAAAGACGAAAGGATCACCCATCTTCAATGCATCATTGAGCAACAGAAAGGTACTGAATCAGCTCACCCACGCTCAGGTTGTCAAAACGTCAGTCACATCAAACAGTCCGTTCTCAGGACTACATCCACCCGGATGATCATAATATTTCGATTAACACACTTTTCTTGTATTACTCAGCTTGGTCCTTATATTTTGACATTTCATGATAGAAATCTGTGGACGAGCATTTCAATGGAGCGCACAGAATTGTTTATTATATCCATTTTTCCTTGCATAGTTGAACTAAAGCAACAAGTCCTAAAGATTCAGAAACTAGAAGAAGGAACGGAGAAGGAAGATAGCGAGGTAAATGGGATTACTAAAAAGTGCTTTAACAGTTTTCCTGAATACCACGTCATAATGATTTTGATTTTTTAATGATTGTTTTGAAGACTGTCTCTTACGAGGAATACGACAAGGAGACAAATCGACTGAAGAAAATTATTGATGAAGTCCAAGGTATGCGGTTTTTGCAAAAGCCAATCTTTTTTTCACATTTCCGGCTGCTTTCATTGACCACTTAAACCATAGAATCAATAAATACAGACTCAGCTGTGCAGTGCTCATTAACAGCAGTTATCTTTCCTCACACCTGTGAGAGTAGAGCTGCACTGAGTCTGTATGTTGCTGATGCTTAT